GTACCTACCTGACCCTAAAAATAATCTAAACCTTGGTCCTAAACCTAAACCCACACCCATCGTTTGCATTTGGACCCGTGGGTACCTGGCAGTGGTCCCCACGATTCATTCCGGTCCCCACGAGGCTGCTTTTTTTTTTGGGAAAATTGTTCCCACATTGTAGGAAAAACCTGTCCCCAAACACACACTTTGACAAGCACGGTGCACTCCAACACTTCACCTCAGATCAAAGCTGCCTCCAGGTTAACATTTAAAAATCATTATAYAAAGTAAATCAAAAATAGAGTCCACATAAAAGTGTCCTCCATTTAGTCACTCAAATTTCAACATCTGTTGACTTTTCTAAAGTCCAACACTTCAGTCGGCCTCTCAGAGACCAGCAACATTTTCTGACAGGTCTGATCTGAAAGGGTCCTGTGATGTGTTGATGTGATGAAATACCACCAGTCAGGGAGGACAATAGAGAAGCTGCCAGATGGACATTGTCCCGACTGATGGGCGCTTTTGATGGATCAGTGGTCTTTGTATTAAAACTGTCCAAACTGTTAACTCCCAGGCTGCCTGTTACGCCCTGAAACTGTTTTTTTTTTATTTACAGTGTAAGTTGGTTTGGGATACAGCTTTTAAAATAAGTGCTAACACTTACAATATCTACTAAAGATGGTGTGTAATATGTGATCTAAAAGCAAAAATGGTTGTAAAAACAAAAATAATCAGAAAGACACTAAAAGCTGCTAAATGGATGCCACATAAATCTATTAATCAACAAATATTCATCAAGTTTTAGCAAATGTGACTCCATGAATTATAAATATAGCTTACGCTAACGTGACAGAATGAATTTAATGTAATTTAAACCAGATTAACACCTAAATCAATCAGATTAAGTGGTAAAACTTTAAACAGTAAGTCAATTTTGACCACTTTTGAGCTTGAAGAAAAGTTTAATTAAATATAGCTTTTTAATTTTTTCAGTGGCTTCTTTGCCACAGGGCAGTGAACGCCCCACGACAGGTGATAACAGGTGGAAGGAGGAGAATCCCTCCTCCTCCCTCCCCCTTCAGACAGCTCCATCACTCCACCTGCTTACCCTCTGAGTCTCCCTCATTCCTCTTCTGTTTGTTTCCGCAGGTGAAGGGGGGTGGAGTCAGACAGGTGGCACCAAGAGAAGGATGTAGAACCTTTCAGTTTAAGCTGCAGTTTAAAAGATAAAAAAAAAAACAAAGAACAAAAGGTGGGGCAAGTTTGGAACCCGTCCCGCGAAGGCAGAGCTCAGCGGGTGCGTCCCGCGTGGCCAAGGCCATCCGCCTCTGTCTCACACACACACGCTGGTGTCCCCCGTGCACTGGGGCGCACGAGGGGTGGCAGGTGGTGCGTGCACGCATAAATGTGTGCCACAGTGTCACGAGGCACCACATTCCTGACAAACCACAGAGAGAGAGAGAGAGAGAGAGAGAGAGAGAGAGAGAGAGAGAGAGAGAGAGAGAGAGAGAGA